CAAAGTTGATTTTTTTTCTGATCACTCCAGCTCCTGGCAGAGACCTCCCCAAATACAGCAGTGCCAGCAGCAGGATCTGACCCACTTTGCAGCTCCTGTTTCAGAGAAGAGATGGGTTGGAGCATTTATCTCAGCAGGGCTTCTTCAGAGAGAGGCAGGCTGGATTTCTCTTGTTACTGAGACCTTATTATTTACTTGGCTCTCTGCCCTGCTCTTGGTCACATCTACTGCCTGAACAAGGGAGGGAAAGCTGGAATTCTGTTCATTGTGCTGCTACCCAGCGACCATCTGAGGAACTGAGCTCTGCAGCACAGCAGGAGCCTGGTTTTCCACTAACACCTCCATGTCACAGCCCAGCTCATTCCTTGGAGCTCACCTGTAGGGCCAATTGGCATCCCGAGAAAGGCTGGGGCATGGACTGACAGCCTGGGGGGCAGTGGCCAAGGCAGGGCTGTCATGGACTATGGGTGCCTTCCAGGACATGGCAAACATTTCCAGTACTGTGTGAAGGTTGCTGATTTTCTGCCATATAAACCCAAAGTATTCTGTGTTTGACCAAGGAGTGGCAGGGAGGGGGTGAATGCAGCAGGACAGTGATGCAGTTAGTGACAGCTCATTAGGAAATTATTAACTACCCCAAAAGATTAGTGGGGTGGGGGGCAGCAGGGATGCCCCCTGGGCTTATTTGGGGCTCATTTGGCAAAGAATGACTCAGAACACAGGAAAAGTCAGGCTGAGGACAGCAGGGTGGGAGGCAAGCAGGGAATGGAGCTGCTGTCAGGGGGAGCTGGGGGTCTGCATCCTCCCTGCCCACACCAGCACCACTGGCAGAGCCCCCCACCATTTCAGCTGGAGTTACTCAGGGGAATGTTGGCATTCTGAACATTTCTAAACCTCCTGGTTGGGCACCATTCCCTGACAGTGTCGTGGCTTTGGCCCTCCTGGAGGAGCAGGGCAGGAACCTGCCATGAACTTCTCGAGCTCCAGAAAGGTTCAGTTCAAGCTGTGAGGGCTCTGAAAGGGGCATTGCAGGAACTCCAGTGGGCCTCATTTGCCCACTTTTCACACCAAACACAGCCAAAGGGACAGCTAACATCACCACGTGGTGCCACAGCCCCCTGACACGTGTGGGGCACTGGCGTGGGTCCCCTTTGGGGATGACAGCAGTGACCACCCCTCCTGCAGGCACACACACCCTCCTGCCTCCGGGCTGCTGTGCCAAAACACCCCTGCACTGATCCAGCCTGTGATCATCAGCACGTGTGCCACTGGCAGAACCTAAAATGACAAATGGATGGAGAGGTCCCAGGGTGACCAGAGCACTGTGCAGGGGATGTTTCATCCAGGTGCCAGAGAGACTGGACACATATCTACTCTGGGTTTTTTAAGGTTTTAGCTGTCCTTGAGGGAAGATGCTACAAAAAAAGCCACTTGTCTGATGCTGGGAAATAACCTGAAGCAGACTTTTAATTTTTTTTTTAAAAACACCAGGTATAACAAAAATGTACTTACAGCAGAGAACTCCTCTTTTACCATCTTTGACTTTTTTTTTTTTTTCCTATCCACAGTCCCTCTTGCTGTTTATAGTTGTTCCTCATGACTGAGTTCACCTTCCTCTTTGTTCTCCCCCCAGCTACTTTTCCACTACTGGGGATTTCTCAGAAATGTTACGCTGCCAGAATTCACTTTTATTCTTAGAAACTGGAGCACAAAGGCAATTGCTTGGAAGCAAAATGACATCTGTGAAGAATGACTTTGGACATTGGATAAAATAGAGGAGGAGCAAATTGGAGGACAGAAGGCCAAAATTCCTGTAGGGCACTTAATTTCAGGACATTTAGCATATAAATGAGGTTATTTTGGCAAAAAGTGTCCTGGTGTAGAATATGTCGCTGATCAATAGATGCTGCTGAGGAGAACCTACTCAAAAACATTGGTTTCTCTTGTTCAAAAAAAAAATTGTGCAACCCTCATCACAGAAGGAGGTAGTATCCTTCCAACAGCCTTGAGGCATAAACCATGGCTTTGTGCTGTGTTTTATAGGCATAAGCAGAAACAGATTTATTGGGAAAACTTACAGAGGCAGGAAATTAAAAAAAAGGATGTAGCTCAGTGATGTTCCTACTGATGAACATCACAAACATCCAACATTTTAAAAGATTAGCACCACTGATAGCCGTGATCTTAATGCTCCCACCAATGCTTCAATTTCATCCTCCACTGCTGGGTTATAAACAAAACAAATTCCCAGGCACAGATCAGCTCAGGCACCCCAGGATGAAAAGCTGAACATGGCCAGACACGTGCTGTGGCAAGTCCAGTCCTGCTGCCACCAGAGCAGCTCGGTGCCCCCCAAAGTGCTGGTCCTGCTGTAAGGTGGAGCCACCAAGGAGCTGTCAGCAGCAAGCACAGGGCTCCTGGTCACTGAGGGTCCTCACAGTGAAGGTATGTTTGCATTTAAAGTGATCTTCCTGAATGAAAGATTTCTATCAACCTTGTCTGGCTTCTCCACTTCTTTAAGGGATGCAATAACTTAGAAGGTGGTAAGGGGCCAAAAGGAGCATTCAGAATTCCAGTGGCATTTCTAGGAACTGCCTGGCATGCCCCAAGTTCCTCGCAGTGACGTGCTGGCCAGCCTGCAGGAGGGAAGTGGCTGGCTACGGCGAGGCGTGTACATGGAAGGAGTGTTCATCCCTGGGAAACAAACCAAAAAAGCCCTTGGAGCATCTCAGATTACCCTGTCATATCCAGCGACCCAAGGCAGACCGTCAGGACATTCACTTTCCAGCCCCTGCTCTGGCCAAGGGAGCACCAGCAGGGAACCACCTTTGTAAATATTAGTGTCCCCTAAAGGGCCTGAAAGGCTGGAGGAATCCATGTGACTGGGAAGATTTCCACAGTCCCTGCTGGTGCAGATTTCCAGGAGCAGCACAGATGATGTGAGCCAGTTCCTTGCAGGGAAGTGGGAACATCACCCCACACTCCCTCAGGACAGAGTGCCTGGAGGGACCCAGGTCAGCCAGTTTCTGCAGGACATCAAGGGTGGCTTCTCCCCTGGCATGGAACCAGCACATCAGCACTTCCCCACAGCACAGGGCATCGATGAACTCACCCTCAAGCCTGTAACATACAGGTCTGATGGAGGCTTTTCCAGGAATTTTCTGGGAGATAAAGCAATTCCTAGTATTGAATGTGGTGCTGGAGATCACATTCATGGTAAGAGACAGCATGATGCAAATGTGTCTGAAACCACTCCTTGAATTTTACTGAGTGTGCGTGAGGAAATGGCTCTCCTGAGGTCACCAGAAAATCTGGGGCAAAACACAGATTAAGCACCTGGTGTCCCCAGCTCACCACAGATCCACTCTCTCTGCAGTGTGCAGGGTATCATCACTCTCCTTTACTGCAGCTGCTCCTCTTTGCCTCCCCTTGCAGAAATTCCAGCCACACTGAAGTATGTCTGATTGTTTTTTAGTTATCCCTGTTAATATGTAGGTATTTAGATATCCCTATTACATATACAGCTATCCCTCCAATCCCCCAGGCTGGAGGGACTCTAATAAGAGAATTAACCATTAGACAGAGCTTTTCTCTGGCTCACTGCAGGGTGGGCACTGCACAGACAACCTTCCCTGGCTGGACTCATTCTCCTGCAGGACCTGTGCTCTCTTGATCACTTTTTGACTCCAAGCCCAGTTCTCAGGAGTGTTCTTGGGAGGAAGTGTGGAGGTGGTGTGGTCTGGTTTGTGCTTTCTGTTCAATGGGCTTTTTATTTTTCTTAACTTCAATGACCTCACATCAATTTAGAGACTTCCCTTACCATTACTGTATCTCTCTTCCAGGACTTGCTTTTCTCCTGGGCAATTGCCATCTTCCTAGCTAGATGCTGCAGTAGAAAGAGCATGAGTCAAGTTTGGGAATCCACGGGGAAATATTGGCAGCCACTAATGAGTGAGAGCAGCATAGGAACGTGCCACAAATTAACAGCCAGGGAAACAACCTAAATCTTTATTTAAGTGAAGCTTTGTTTAAAGGGGCTGTTAAGTGACTCAGCTGCACATTACTGGGAAGTTAGAGGTAATCTTTGCAGGGCAAGGAAGGGCTGTGTTAGGAGAAAATGAGGTGTTTTGCTGCACAAATGTGTTGTAAAGTGTTAGGACATTTATTAATCATATGTGGGCAGACAACTTCACACACCCTACCAGAATTTACTGTACCAATGTCATTTCCATATTGGATCTCTGTGAGCGTTATGAATCAGCCAATATGTGACATTAATTATCTGCATTTAGCATTGTGCAAACTGACATAATGATCAATTATGGAGTCACACATCTGTAACTGTTTACTGAAGCACAGAAGTAATCCCCCAGTTCTCTAAAACATTCTGGAATTATTCTGTACATGCTATATCTAACCAAATGCTGGTTTTGTCCAAAAGTATCATTCTTCCATGGCTGAGAGGTGCAGCATGCAGTGCTCAGCATCTGCTTCAGCAGCAGGTTCCATGGAGGTGGCTCTTCTCCCACTGCCATGGGGGAGTCTTCACTAATTCACCTCTTTGGAGAAATGTTTCTCTGAAGTTCTAGGAAATTGCTTCATGGCTTTGGATTTCTTTCTGATGAAAACCAAAAGGAATTTGAATTCTTTGAATTCAATTTGAATTGAATTCTTTAAATTTCAATTTCTCACCTCCTCTGTTCATCCATAATTGGAAACACAAGGTATTTGTCTTGCATTACCATTTTCAGGAACTGTATGAAAAGATGGAAGAATGCAGGATGTTTGGTCTAAGAAAAAGAGAAGGGAGAATAGAAAAAATATCTTCCACAATGAAGATTTCTGTGCACACAGTGGCAATCCAAATGTTCCCTGTGCCCACTGAAAACAGGGCAAGAAAAAAATCATGCTAATTTTCTGAAAAAATTGTCTAGGATAAATATTAGAAAATAATTTCCTGATTTTACAGAGATTGAGTCTTGGAGCAACACAGAAAAGTTTGGACTTTCCTTTTCCAAAGTTCAGAAGAGCTGAGGCAAACTTTGGCCAGGAAAGGCTGAGGACGACATCCTCAGATGCTCTTGACGTAGGTGATCTGTGATTTTAGGATTCAGGCCATGAGGACTGTCCTAGCAGACTGACAGAGTTTCAGGGCTGGAAGAAGCCCTGGATGGTGACAGCCAGGCATCCCATCCCTCAGGGGCTCCTTGGGCAGAAATGGATTTGCTGTGCTCAAAGCAGCAGTGCAGAGCAAAGGACTCCCACAGCAGCTTTGGAGAAGTGCTCCCAAGGAATGTGTTTTCCATTTTCAGCCTCTGTAGTTCCAGAACTGGGAGTTCCCTCTGTATTTATGCAGAATTCAGCACAAACAGGCCTTTGAACAGCACTGAAACAGAAAAATCAAAATGTGATCCTTTCCACCTTGAGAAACAAGCATGTCCTGAACACTCTTATCTCAAAGGCAGAAGTGACAGGCTGTGGAAACATTCAGTCTGGAAATTAATCTTTTGAAAATAAGCTGAGTCTGAAGAGATTATATACATATTTGTGTTTGCCTATTTGAGTTACTGATGCTGTTTTCATCTTCAGCTGAATAAAATTTTATAATTATTTTTTTTTAAGTCCAGCAAATTTGTCAAATTTACTACTGAATTAAGTTGCACCAATGCTGATTTTTAGTGAGTTTAGTTCCTTACCATAGTAGCCAATTTGGCCTTATTCAGTTGGAGGCTGGATAAATACCTCCTTTGAGCCAAATCCACCTCAATCAAAGCTTATATAAATCTCTTCATATCAGTAATCCTGTGCCTGCTAAACCCAGTAGTTATTTTGGTTGTGTCTGGCAAGATGAAATGATCAGTACTCAAACCCAGTGATTCTGTCTGTTGCCACACCAGTGTATATTGCCACTATTTTACAGCAGTATGGGTGTGTAAAAATTCCCACACAGAGTGTCCATGTTCATAGAGGGCACAGGTATGTGTTCTGCCATGTCACACCATGGTGCTGTAAGCAACAGAGGTCACTCTAGGACGGGACAAAACTCCCTTTTGGCATCCACTGGAGCACTCCTGAAGGCAGTTCCTTATCAATTTCCTTTTGCTGGGCTACCAGCTGAAAATTGGTCATGTTTCTATGGTAACAATGCAAGCAAGGCATTTCCACAAATAAATATTTACAGGAAAAATCCTTGTTTGGGAAACAAATGAGCACTTGCTCTGGAGATCCTGCTGCACCAGTGACATCCCTGTGCTACTGCTTGGTAGCATCAAAACATTCTCTGTGAGAAGCAGTGAACTGTGCACTGGGATGAGAGCACATGCTTTCAGATACATGATTTCTCTCTGTGGTTTTCCCAGCTGTCTTTACTTTTCACAGAGCAGGCCAGCCCTTCTCTCTCCCAAATCCATTCGTTCCTTTTTCATTTAGGGCTTATCTTTGCTGTCAATGAACCCAAAGGTGCTCCGGACACATCCTTTCTCCAACCAGCTCTTCTTCCTGCCATCCCTTGGATGCACTTTTGTGGCTGGATCATAAGAGGGGCATAACACACAAGGAGACCCCACTGAATCCCTGCACAACATTTTATACACCAGCCTTTCCTCCACACTGCAGCTCCTAGCTCACTTGAGCCTTTCTGTAGCTAAGGGGAATCCAGGGAAAACACAGCTTTAGTCCAAATGCTGGTTGTTTGCCCACTTCTAGCTGATTAGAAGTTCACTAATAAACCATTGTAACTCAGTGTAAAGAGGTGAGCAGAGGCACAAACCAGTATATCCGATGAAATGAAAAGTATACACAGCGCAAAGGTCACATAAATTATCTGACCCTCATTTTCTTCCATATGACAGAAATACATGCCAACATGAAATATAAGCTAAACACATGCCATTCATGCCACAAAATAAGTTATTAGGACATAAATTGAAATCCACATTCTCCATTTTTTGTACTTCAGCAGCAGAAGATGTCTGGCAGCTCAAGAAGATGATTATCTCTACATATATCACCTTCTCCTCCCTGATTTTTTCCCTTGAGTTTTGGCACTTACTTAATCATTGAGGTAATTTTTTTTTCAGGAACATGAGCAGCCTTTAGCATGGAAGGTATCTGAATGTGGAATCCTACATACAGTAAGTTTCACCTTAAAAAGAAAAAAGGACATTTTTACAGCTTGTTATATCTGATCAATATTTGTGCAACAATCTGACTTGTATTTGAACTAGCTAAATAAAAATTCTCCATAAAGAGAGATGAGTTTGGTTTTTTTCCTTGCTGAGACTGCTGTTCCTTTCTTTAGATAGCAATAACATCTCATGACCTCAACCTTCTCAGCAGAATTCAAATATGAACGTGTCTGGATATGGGTCATGAACCTGAATACTGAAATATGCGTTCAGAAACATGTTGTGGATCACAGCTGGGTTAAAGAACATCTTAGAAATGTCCCAGGTTCTTCAAAAAACACAGTCTCACACAAGGAGATGTGTAGTGCTTGATAAGCCACAGGACATAGGAGTCCAGGGCTCTGCCTCAATACCCAAACCACTATAAGCAACGACACATCCACTGGAGGCAATGGTTTATTTCCCAAAACTTGCAATTTATATGCATTAGGCATAAAAATCCCAAGTAACTCTAGTTTATGGTTGCCCAGTAACATCTCTTGTTGTTGCTCAGTCTTCTTCAAACTCTGCAGTGCTGGCCTTGTGTTCCCCACACAGCTCAGGAATACAAGACACCACATCAGAATGATGCTGAGGAGATATTGGTGCTGGAGTTATTCACGCCAAACCTACCCCAGAGTAAACTGGTTTGAATTGAAATGCAAAAAGGGGAATTGCTTTCTCATTTAGCTTGATATATTTGAGTCAAGGTTAGTCAAGCTTACCTCCTTTCTCATGGACCTGCTGATGAAGAAGTAAGCCTCCTCCACACCCTGGGGCTGCAGATCATTCACAGCCACCACGTGGTCCCCGTGGTTAAACAAACACCCCAGCCTGCGGGGACCAGCCCACTGTGAGATGCTGTGGAGGGCAGACAACAAAGGAAACACACAGGATATCCTGTATCACTGCACTTTCTGGACAGGATTGCATTTATGGGGCTGCCCTCTGGAAATGACACACATGTTCAACGACTTTGTAAATTTTTAAATTTACAAAAATTTGTAAATTTTTGGTCTGGTTCTGGTTGAAACCGTCACTAATTATTACACAGCATGTTGGATTCTTCTTTACAACAGCATTTGAAATACAAACTCATAAAAAGAATCGGAGAGAGCAGAAGGAATCACTGAAGTGCCAGCAAGCACTGCCCCTGCCCTGTTCTGCCCTGCCAAAACTGCACGTGGGTGTCTGCAGTTGAACACTTCTGTGCCTGTCACTTATTCCCATCTCACAGGCACTGCCACAAGACATCCACACTTACCATATTCGTCCTGCTGCTTCAGTAAATTTTAGGTAATTGTTGATATCAGCCAGGGGTACGAAAATATCCAACTTCTGCAGCTGCATCTCGTCTGTAACTTGACTGTGAGAGAAAAACACCAGAGACCACAGAATCACAGAAAAGCTCAAATTGGAAAGAACCCATAAGGATTATTGAGTCCCACTCCCTGCTCCTTGCAGACTCCCTAAAACTAAATGCTGTGACTAAAAGCATGACTAAGGTGCCTCTGGAATGCTGAGAGGCTTGGCAAGATGGAACCCATGAACACGTCTGTCTCCTCTGCTACCAGCTGGAGAAGACATTTACCTGAGCAGTATAGACAGGTGAACCACTGAGAGGGGTAATGAGTTTTGCCTCCTCTGGATGGTCGGCTGCAGGCTGGTGCTGCTTTCTGGGAATTTTGTGTCTTTGTCTGCTTCCAAGTCTCTTGGACATGCACTGTTGTTCTGGCATTCGGGAGGGGATGGGAGCCCATCAAGTCTGCACGTGAGCTGGCATGTCTCATCCAGCAGCTTACTAAAGAGGAATGATGATAAAAAATTAAGGGGTTTGACAATTCCTGGCACTCTTGCTGTGTTTGAAGCTGGATCAAGCAGTCCTTAATAAAGCAAAGAATAACAAGTTCTTGTAGAATATCCAGTGGACAAAATAAAATCTAAGTAAAATAAACATCTCTTCTAAATATGGATCATAAATCTCAAAATAAAAGTTTTCAGTATGCAAAAACTATTTATTAAGTCTGGAAACATTTCAGCTAACAGCATGCCTTGACAAAGAAACTGAGTACAGATTGTTGGCCTTGGCTGTACTGGGTTCTGCAGGGATGTAAAGCTGTCCCTTGGGAGATGTGATAACTCAGAACTACTTGAAATAATTTTAGTTTTATTTGATATGCCTTATATTGCCTGGAGCTGACTCCCCATTGTGCCCCAAACAAGACTGGGGTTAGTAGCAAAAGCTGCTCTGGGTATATTTTAACTCAGATGGCATAACCTTGTGAAGTTTTTATAGTTATCCCCTCTGGGGGGTCCCAAAGACACAGAGAGGCTTGAATTAATCTATTGGGATTGTCTGGTTCGTGGGTCTGCATTTCCAGTTGCCTCCCTCCATGTGGCCCAAGATCTGTCTGTAGGTGTCAGACCACAGCTGTCAGCTACTGACCCCTCCTCTGGCTCAGGAGGAGCCTTACCCTGCAGGGACTATTCTCTGCAGTATTCAGTGCTATATTTTGCAGGTTGTAAAGTTTCCCTGTGGCCTAGAACTGTGACACAAAGTTCAGGTCCTTCTTTGTGATGTGGCAAACACTGTACCTTCAAAACACACAGCAACAGAGCTGCTCTTTGGATGGCAAAATGAGGGAGGATGTGTCCTAACCCACACAACTTCTTCATGGAAAAGCTGGGAGCTAATGCCCCATCTCTACCTTTCTCTTTTAACCTCTAGATAATGCTGCCTGCTTTGGAGAGCGCCTGTCTGAAAGGCTGTGGGAGTTTGGCTGCAGTGACTCAGTAAAGTGGTGAGCTGTTGTCATGAAAACCCAGAAAAAGTATGAGTCAACAAAAGGTGCTGCATTATATAGTGAGAGCCTGTGCAAGTGCAGGAGTCTGCAGTGTGAGCTTAAATTTCATGTTTATGAGTTTGAATTTGACTCCAATGTTCCCATGAATGCTGAACTTTGTGAACTAAGACCCAAAAAGGACTCATTCAAACGAGATGCAACCTCCAGATCTTGTTATGCAAATACCAGAGATGTCAGCTCTATCTCTATTGCTGTGCCACATTTAATTTCCAAAACCTTAATAAAGTTGTTACTTACAGCGATTTCATTGACATATAAATGTTCTCCTTTACTGGGCTCTGCTGCACTGGCTTCTCTTGCACAGGGACATCAGACTCAGCTGTAGGGTCAGGCTTTGGTACTTCACTAGTGCACTGTCAGAAACACGCAGCAACACAAGACATTAATGTCATTGCCCTGCCCACAGAAGAAACCCCTGTTAATTTCCTTATTTTGTTCAGTGTTCATGCTGTTTAAACATATTGGCTAATACAGCCTGGGTTTCCTCAAATCAGTCAATTCCCAGAAACTGGGAGCTAGAAAGGTGCTTGAAACTTAAAAGGTAATGCTGGAATTATTGGCACTGCCAGAGACCAGCTATATAAAAAAAAAAGAAAAATTGTTGCCTTTTAATTTAAGCAGACTGAAAAAGAAGACTTGTACTTTGGGTATGCTTGACCTAGAGCACTTAGGTTATGTGACAACACCACCATTGTTAATGTCCTTCAGTCAGATGTACAGTCTGTGACTTCTGCAGAAAACTGACCACTTCTCCTGAAATTAGCCTCCCAAATTGGGTGCCAAAATTTGTATAAAATTAACAGCATGATTTCTCCTGCTGCCTTGTTTCACAGTGAAATGTGAATACCAAAATGTACTGCAGTGTTTTAAAAGTACTGCTTTTATGCAGCTTACTGGTTTTTCAACAGAATTACATTTCAAAATACATAAAACTAATGTACTGTTACATTCTCTAAATGAAGCTTCCAATTTCAGAAAAAAACCCCAACCCTACCCCATTATACAATAGGCAAAAGCCATTAACAATGAAACAGTCAATTTGGGGAATTTCAACAAAATCAGCAATGTTTTTGTCAAAATGCCACTTTGTACCAGGAAGATCCTTTGAATGAGTCTAGTGTATTTTTTTTTTTCTTCTTGTATAAATGAAAGGTCTATTACCTATTGCTTTATCTATGTATTCCTTTTGCAAAGTACAAGTGGTTCCTCCTACCAGTTCCTCTTTGGCTCATTAAATGTCTCCTGTGTCCTTGGAGCTGTTAACAGAGCAGCAGAACTCACAGCTGATAAACTACCTTAGCTAAAATATTGCTGGGAGTTTGGTAATAATCTTCTTCATCCTTTTTCATGTTTTCCTCTGGATCTGACAATAGCAGGTTTTCCTCACTGCTTCCCAGAATTTTCTCCTGCTGAAAGAATGGGTTTGTATTTAACAGGCTCAGTTATACAGATTAACATGCATTTTTCCTTTTTGTGGAGAAGCAACAGAATCAGCAAATATTCACAGAAAACATGGTAAGATACATCCTGTTTGCATGAGGGACAATTACTTAACAAATAGATCTGAGCCTGGATGAGGGAACCACCAATAAAAAGCAAAACACATCAGATGCTTGAAATGGGGACTCACACTGCTAAAAGGAAGTAATTACAAGGGGTTAGTAAGGAAGTCAGCTGTCTGCATGTCACTGAGCAGAGAATAGGTCCAGAGAAGTCAGCAGATGTTAAACTTATGAGGCAAGAGAAATATTTTTATCCAATGGACAAATATTGTTGTTTCTTGTTCTCTATACAGCAAGGTTATTTATTTTTCACACATGCCAAAACAGAAACATGAGCTTTGTGCTATTCCCTCTGCTTCAGGCTAAAAAGCTAAAATCTAAATTCCTTATCTTCTAACCCTCATGGTCAGCCTGTCTTAGCCTGAACAGCTGCATATAATATTACCTGCTCTCTGAGGCATTGTAAGTATGAGAAGAATTAATGAATAAGACAGGAAAGGTATGTATAAGGAAGAGACACAAAGAAATTCTTGACATTCTGACCAGAGCAGGACTGGTTAAAATCAGACCAAGGGTTAACTCAGTGCATTTCAGAGCTCACAAATTAATTACTGCAACTTTATAAAGTCCTGTGCATCAGCTGGGCTATGCTGACTGCCCATGGCATTGCAATGCAGTTTCAACTATTCACTTCTTTCCACTAAATTTGGCTGTATGATCTCACACTTGCTGTCAGCCTATGTACAAGGATGGTGATTGCAGCACGTGATTTACCACCCTGCTAGCTGTGACAGCAGAACAGATTCTTTGCCCTGTATCTCAGCCACTCCAGGTCAATGCATAAACTGTCAGTAAAGATGGGTTTAAGCTGCAGAGTGGTCTGGTAGAGCCTTGGTTGTGCCTTCTGTCCTCTTGACTCTGCTGCAAAGGCAGCAATCCATGGCAGAGGAAAACTGCTGCAGGCACCAGCTCAGGGAACACAGGTCAGAACATTTAGCCACTAATACAAGATAACATTCATCTTTTTATCTTTCCAAATCACTCCTGCTAGATATGGAAGTGAAATTACTTGAAGACATATTAATGCTGACAGAAGGTCAGTTCTAAGACGTGCCTCAATTTAACAAGCTCTTGTTCTGTAATTTAGTTACACTGACTCGATTGCTACTGGCAAAGGCTGAAAACCATTTAGGAACAACTGTGGCAGAGCTGAGAAATGTGCAGGGAGGGACAAATCCTCAACCACTGTAAATGCAGACCTTTCTCCATCAAGTTTGCGAGAGCTGCCACAAGTTGCAGTTGCTGCACAGAAACTGAGGCTCTGACTCCAAAACCCCTGGACACAGGTATTTCAAGCAAGTTTTTAGGAGATCATTTTCAGCAGTAAACAAGAAAACAGACTAAATATTTAGGAAGCTTTCATAGAGGAAATCAACTTGATGTGCTAGGAAAGAAGGTGGATAATCTATGGTCACAGATACCCAGGTGAGATAAAATCCAATATTCACTTTTGCAGATGGAACAAGGCAAGAGCTGTTTGATTTGTTCTGCTCACCAGGCTTGGAAAAACTCCTCTTGGTGAGCCACACTGAGCCTGATGGGGACCAGGATCTGAATAAGGCCTGTTCTTGTCTTCTGAGGAACCATTCTCCTGTATAAAAAGGAAAAAAGTTGACTCCTCATAAAGATACACTGGAGGTGCTTGACCCACATTCAGCTTCCTGTCACCAAGCCATTGCACAGAGCTTTGTGACTACAGAAACAGCAATTCCTTGACTGCTATTTCACCCTGACACTGAACTGCAATTGCTGTGGGACAGCAGCAATGCTTTACCTCCCTTCTATCTAAATATCGAGGGGAAAGTCAGTAAGGCAGAGAGGAATTGGATCTGAACTCTCCTCTAAGCTTTACAGCCTAAAAAGAGAGAGAGAAATAAAAGCACAATCACAAATCAGGAGGAATGTGGCTAGCAGCTGCCAAAACAATCATCACATGCCTCTGCCAAGGCGTGTCAAAGCAAATCTTCAGGAGTTTACTCAATGCTCACTAAAATTTGCCAGTCAGTTGAGACAAGCAGTGACTATTGTCTCTCATTGCCTTCACTTACATGCAGACTTGCCTCTAAAGTATTTCCCTTGTGGGGGCTCTGTGGTGCTACACCCAGGTCCCAGTCAGGGTCCCCACCAGAAGAGACTACCCAGAGACCCACTGCAGAAACTCGGAACAGCTTTTGATGGGAAAAAACCCAACTGTGCAAAAGAAATGCCACAGTCATGCCTAGGCACAGACTCTTTATTAAGGACAGTTAATTTGTTTACCTTCTGGTAGCTTGGCCTGTCTGGAAGGCTGGCCATATCTGTGGAATTCAAGAATAGTGGCAAAGAGGAAGTCCGGCTTCTGACTTCTGCATTTGGAAGATCTTGGTTCTAGAAATAAGGGAAAAACAGTATAAGAAAACAGGCACCTGTTGGGTGTGGGCTAAAATGTACTGACACATCTCACTAGAGCAAATTTTATTGCTAATGGCTCAGAGGCATTGTCTGCATGGCATTTTTTAGGCAGACATAAATTTGCCCTGCTTGCATTTTGAGCTGTGTGGAAGCTGCAGGGGTGTGAGTGAGACTCAGCTTAGTGCTGAGCCTAAACTGGTGGGCCTGGCTGGCTGGCAAGTGCAGAACCTTGGGCCTGAGCTTGAACTACCAGGGCTCCCAGCTGATTCATAACATTGACAGACTGATGTAAAACAACATGTAAATATATCCGAAATGCACCCACTAAGTATAACACAAGTTTTCACTCTGATGCATCACAGGTGTGGTTCATTGCAGCATAATATCAATCCTCCCCTAATTTCCATATAGCTTCCTCTTCAAAGAGATTTCTTTAATGTAAAATCAATCCCAGTGCAGACAGACTGTGCAATGCTTGATGCATAAAGCCAGGGTACAGGATTTATATGAAAATGAATTTCTGAGTAACCAAGGTCAGAGGCAACTTGCGAGGCAAAGATCAGGAAAATTCCTTTGCACAGCTTTGTAATGAAAAAAAGAAATACTTTTTAAATTTTTTTTTCTGAAATAAAGTACAGTAACATGTCACCTGAGGGCAGCATCCACTTTTGTCCTCCCTGCAGACTGAAGATACCAGAGTGACCCAGTCGTCTATTTCCTGCCTGAAGTTGGAACAAGAGGAGTGAAAACTTACTGACAGGTAACACACAAGGGCAATTCTTTTGCCTACCCACTTCTTCCATGGGGCCCAAAACAAAAACTCCCAAAACCCTGCACACCTGGGTTTCAGGAAAGAGTGCTTATGTGGTCACAGCCAGATGCAAGGCCTGACTCAGAGAGCTAACAAGGCTTGGGAATGCATTTGGGCCACCAGGATGAGAAACACGTCATGAAAGGACTGTTGAAGCTGTTTTTCATGCTTGCAGTGGATTTAGTTGGATTAATTCTGGAATGCTTCCCCAGTGTGGGCTGCGAGAGCCGCGCCCTAGGGGAAGGCATTGGGTAGCACGCTCAAGTAGCACCCAGGTATGTGTTTTTCTTCTTATCAGAATTTCACACATCAGCTGCTCTTCTGCAAAAAAGCAAAAATTCCCCGTGATGTGCTCATGACTGGGAAACTGAAGAGGAGGTGCTGGGAGCCAGCAGTACAGGAGCACTGTGACAAACATCCTCCTCCCTCACCTAACTGAGCTTTGGCTGATCACCTCCACAGAAACAGTTTCTGCCCCTCTTCAGGACTCAATTCCAGCCTGAAAAAGCATGGACTACACCCCCTGCAGCAGCACTTTGGGGATCTGTTTTCCTCCAGGACAAGTTTTGCCTTCAGTCTGCTTCCCTTGATTAATAACCCAGTTTTCAGGCAATATTGTTGTTTACCCATGAGGAGCAGAACCTCCTCTACCTCCCAGGAGCTGCTGGGTGAGAAGGCAAAGGTCTCTGCTCTTTCCTGTGCCCCGAGCAGCACAGTTTGGAATGGCACTGCCACTGCCAGCCCTGTGCTCCCTCTGCTTTCACATGCTGGGTGCTGTGACCGGGTGGCTGCAGGGAAGGTGAGCTCACCTGCCTGGACCAGCAAAAAATTAACCCAGCCACGAGTAAGGGGAGACAATGCCATAGAAAAAAGCTGCTTTCCATTGGGTCAGGCAGCTGAATCACCTCATCCCAGAGCTGAGACACAGAAGGGGAGTGGCTGTGAAGGAGCAGGACCCTTCCTTGGGGCACAGCTTAGTGCTACATGGGTTCAACAGCACTGTCACATCCTGCCATGCCCACCTGCTCTCTCCAATGAGGTAGTAACATCTGTTTCCCGTGCTGATGGACATCACCTGCTCAGGAAGGCATTTAAACATCTTCCTCACCATTTCCATAATTTCAGCATTGCTTATGCCAACTTGAATACTTATGATTCTGTGAAGATAACCACAGGAAACATTAACATTATAACTCTACACAGTTACATACAAGTAAACACACATATATATGTGTGCATGTCCGTATTTTACTATGAGCACAGCATAATGAGATCTGCAAGGGAAAAGTTAAACATTTTTCCACAGAAAAAATTGCTCAAGAAAATAAATGCACACATTCAAAAGAGGTGGTCTTTTCAATGAAGAAAATCTGCAGGTAAAAGTATAAAATTAACTTTTCTAAAGTGCTCAGACTCATTGGATCCTCATTTCTGGAAAAAGGGGGTTTTGGTTTAATTCAGAATCTTGAAAAGAAACAATAGTAAGAAAGATTTCTTGTGGAAGTTTTTTAGCCATTATAAAACAATAGATTTGATTTGAAACTAATTGTATATTAATAGTGTTTTAATGGAGGGGAGGAGGAACAGAAGTACTCTTAATGGATACTTGAAGCACTTGAAGCGCTACTTCCATTAACTTCCAAGAAGCCAAATTAATAAAAGTAATAACAACAATAATTATGGTAATAATGTAACCACAGACCACTGAGCAAGCTGCAATATTTTTGGAAGCTTCACAATGTAAATCCTCTTAATGGAAGAAGCACAACAGCAATGTGGTGGGTGACCTCCTTGCCTAACAATTCCAGGAGCCTGGAGTATTAACCTCTAGATCTGACAGGAAATATTTACATTTCCCATTACATTTCCTGTTTCTCTTGCACATATTTCACCCATGGTATGGTGAAGGGTGCCAGTCCAAAGCCAGTGACACTCAGTCTTGCTGCAGTAGACATGTGCTGACAGGAGGGAAATGACCAACCCAAAGGAGCCAAGCAGGGCAATTTCTTGGCAGAACAAGAGGCAGCAAGCAACCATAATCAGCCCAAAGGATTGTAAGAAAGTCAGGAGACCTTTGCACAAAGCTGTAAAGCACTTTGTGAAGCTGCAAGCAGGGAAAGGGCGTGTGCCACAGCTGAGAGTGGCACAGCCTGTCCTGCTTCACGTGTGAGTGAAAGCATGGCGCTGTCCGCACAGGAGGTGAAATGTGCTCTACTGCAGGAACACAGCCTGGGGGATCGTGCAGCCAAGCCAGGTATCTCACTGGCTGATACATCACAATCACTCAAACAAAAGTAAATTACAATGAAGCAATTCAGGATTTTCACTTCTACATATATCATGGTTGCACCCAAAGCCTACAGATCCCATGGGACTCTTTTGTGGAGCTCATTGGGCTTGAACCAAGAGCCCAATCCTTGTTCAGTCAGGAACAAGTGCTTATACAATCAGTGGCCATTGAAGAGTGCTGATACATGACTCAAAATAAAAAAGATGATGCATTTGAGCTACATACTGATCAACAGCAATGGAGCCTTTTATGTGTTGGCCTTTTAGATACTTCAGGATGTAATTCCCTGTGTTGGACTTGGACAGGACAAACAGACGCCTTTTCCAGGAATTCTGCCAAAGAGAAAGAAATTTGTGTCTCATTAAAATTCAGGACAGCAGATATGAGGGATTGCTGAAATATGACTAATTTGTGCTAGTATACCTGTGAGCTGAAAAGTTGGTGAGGTGGTGATTTGACGAGGAATCCGTGCTTGCAGACTTCACCTTCAGGGCAAAATATATTTTGAATTCTCACTAATCAAAGAGAAATGAACAGCACCATTACTTAACTTGCTGCCAATTATCTCTTTAAAAAGACCTGTTTGAACTGGAAATTGTTGCTTAGCACTGGGCTTCTGTGCTTAAATGGCCATAAGACAAACACAAATCAAGGCTGTAAAATATAGAGCCAGGCCCTGCTTCCCTGATGTTAATGCTGACAACTGGCCCAAACTGCAAAGTCATAGTTGTGAAAATGTAGGGGCTCAGAAGATATCATGAGCTGCTGTCTTATTTAACTGATCTTATTTAACTTTTGGGGTCTGGTGTTATTTATCTTCATAATCAGTAATCTGAAATACACCCCTAAAGAAATTCATAGGTGGCATTCAGTCAGCTAAGGATAGAGGATCTCACAACTTTACTACTGACAAATTTTAATATTAGAAATTTTGTACCTGCAGAATTTATTTTATTTGTAGAAGCCATCCTGATTGTTTCTTCCACCCAGATAACAAAAAGAGCAAAAATGTTGAAGCTAATTCCTTTCAGTTTTCTTGCTGCAGAGCAGCATTTCACTGCACACACAATTGCTGTTGAGAAAATAACAAAAATCTTACAATGGTTAATTTCCATACTGATGATCAAAATACATAAACAGCCATAATAACTATTAATTTAAACATCTTTATAAATAATTTCATATTAAATTATACACTTTATAAATAATTTCATATTATATATACACAAATATATGCTATATTTGTTATTTTATAATACAGTCAAAAAATTACAAATAACAAATATTATCCACTTTTATGAGCCAAAAAGATGATTTGCCTAGAAGTGATGAGACCTGCCAAGAGAATTTCATTTGGCCCTTTCTTTGCACTGGTGACAACACCTGTAACCTAGGAATACTGCCTCCATGTATGTTTCTGACACTGCCCTGCCAGTGTGATCAGTCCTGTATAAAACTGGCATAGCTTGGCCTAAAGAGTTTAAAATATATGTAGAATATACAGTTATAATACTATGGCAATTTTAATAATTTGCAAGTTTGTCGTAATAATACAATGCCTTTTCAAAAGTTTCCCTTTGCCTTACCCCAGAACTCTCATTCCCTGCAAAATCAGACCTTGGCTGGAAGTTGTTGTACCCACAAGGAGGTTACACAGACTCCCTCGTGCCACCTGAAGCCACAGAGCCTCTCCTGGGAAAATCTGAAGGATTACAAGTGCTGCTCCCTGGTTCTTTACTGAGAACCCTGGCTGCAGTGAGAGATTTAAGGGCTTTCCTGTGCTTCTCTTTCTTCAGTGATTTTCTCCATGGTGCCAAAAGTAAACATGGTCCAGTCAGGAGTAGGCTGGTCAGGAATGGGGTGGGTTACACATGGAATTTTACCCCTGAGACACAACTAAAGCTATAAACTTTCATTCCTCATATTCCAGAATCTAAATGGGAATGACCCACTGCAAGCTTAGGTACATCAGAGGTTTCTGTACATTTCTGTTTTTTTTTTTTTTTTTCGGGGAAACCTTTGCAATTCTTGCCTTTTGGGAGGAAAGATTTGTTGTCCAAATGCCGTGATAAACTGTTATGAAATTTGCTTCTAGGGTTTTCATCTGTTGCCTACCAGAAAAATAAAAGGACAAAAAAGCAATTTCCAAAACTAAAAATGACAGTACACAAAGTCAATAGTAGGGGCACACACCTGGGGTTGCAATGAAAGGCAATGTATTGTTCTGTTCAGTGTGACTGACAGTCACCTCAACTGGCAAACGATGCAATTACTACAAAACAATGTTCCAAGAGTCTCTGACAGGATAAAAGTCTCTTCTGGATGTCAGTAAAAGTCAAGATTTGCATGGATAGACAAACACCTGTGAGATTAGTTGTGCTATCTCACTCTGCCTTTTGGGAAAAAGCTTTTAATTGTTACATCTAATTGTCTTTTCAACAGAAAGCAACATTGTAAATAGGTGTAATTCAAAACAGAAAATGCCAATTCCATGATTATACCCCCTCAGATTTTTGTATGCCAGGCATTAAGGGATTTGATTGCTTCAAACCTTTTGAAATGCAATGAGACATTTCAGTCAAAATGCAAATAAAATGCCTCAAATCATTATGATGAAAGCTATTATAAAACTTCAAAAATTTCCAAGATAAGGAAAACAAACTGTGTTAATACTTACAAGCAAAATGTCTTCATGGTGAAGGAGGTTATTAGAGAAGTACACCTTCAAGTAAGTCCAGATTCCCTGTCCTGCCTCCTGCAGCAAAACACGATGAGACCTTGCCCTGCATTGTGACTGCCCTCTTATAATCCATGTATAAATACAAACACCCTGAAACATGACCCACAAGGAAATTCCTGTTTCTGCATGGGAAGTAAACAAAGACTGCTCTGGAAAGGGGAAATCCAGAGGATTAATATTCACTTAGAAGCAATGAAAAATATGCCCATTTGAGGCAGTGATAAATGCCCCCCACACAGAAAAAAATCCTGGAGACAGCCTGGTTTTGTTGGTTCAGCTTTCTGAACAGTCCCTTCATTTCCCCACCTGTTTCTAAAGCCTAATATCCACCCATGGCTGGAACATAAAGCAGCAGTAAGAGCCCTAAAAGATCATAAAAGTGCCATAAATTGAAACCAATTTCAGATTTAAAGAGCATTTAGTTAAACATACAATGGTGAAGCAGGATTTCTTGTGCTGCCCACGTCATGACCAAGGTAATTTCAGTGTCAGTTTTGGCTGAAAGGGAATTTTTGGGTTTCTCTCCAGAAACATTCAGTGCATCAATAATGAAAGTGGATTTACACACTAAACCATCTGGCTAATCCTGTAGGTGGCAAGGGAATTGCTTTCCAATAGAATATAGTCATAAATTTGATCAGGGGAAAAAAGCTGAAACACCCTGCAGCTTTTTAAATCACTGTTCAGCAACCTGGCTCTGCTGAAAGGGTCAGGGGTTCCTCACTTGAGTGGGCTCCTTCAGCCTCACGGGCTGCACAGCTCTCAGCCACCTCAGGATCACCATGCAGGGGGGATGTCTGCTGGTACACAATCTTCTTTTGAAATAATATTAACTTTTCTGCGTATGATCTAAAGCCATGCTCATCTAGCAGAGATCCTGGTACTGACACAAGGGGATGTTCTTCTCTCTGTCTTTCACTTCTACTCTAAGTTAATCTCTCCATGTTGCTTTCCTCTCTGGCAGTGTATTCAGGTATTTTATGCTGATTTTTCTGTATCTCATATATTGGAACTGGCCTGAAGTTCTGGAGACAAAGGAATACTGTTCACAGAAATTTAAAAACAGGCTAGATCTCAAGCAAATAAAGACAGATGAACTATAAAGACATGAAAGAACCTCTAGAGAAGTAACAAATATTGAAATGTTAGCTGCCCATGGTAAACCAGGAACATCCTTAATTCCAGAAAATAGCTTAAGCTGGAGCTATTTGGCAGAAGCAGCAGGGAGAACACACTCACATGCACTGCTAGAGCACTGTACAATTTACTGTGTAAAGGGCAAGAGAAAGCACTGGTGGAACACGGAATTTCCAATAAAATACTTCCACTAACTTTGGTTTACTCCAAGAGAGGACGTGGCCTGTCCAACCTAAGTCACCCAATGCCAAATTACTTTTCTAACCCACCTTTCCCCTGACACTGTAAACCTCCTCCTGAAAAGATGCCAGAGACCACCTGCACTCCTTGAAGTGAAAGGGACTGGGACATATCTTGGTTGGTTTTTACCAGATTGAGTGACAAACATGCAGATATACAAAAGAATTTTTTTTTTTAAAAAGGTCTTTATTGATGTCATGCTCAATATTTCCATAAATCACCACTTATCTAATTCAAATAACTGTAAATTTATGAAAAAAATATATGTCTCACTATGTCACAGTATTTGTAGGAAAATAAACTTAACCATTTGCTAACTTGGTTTTCATTTTCTCAGAAGATTGTAAGGAGTGTAGAGTACATTAACTGGGAAAAGAGTGAACAACTAATTCTTTATCAGTTTAACCAAATCATTAAACTTACTTTTTTTGACCTAGCTACCAACTAAAGGAAATATAAAAAGTAGAAATATAAAGATCACCAACAAAACTCTAAAACACAAAATCAAGACCATACAGTAACTAAGAAGGCACTTTGGTTTCTGATTCAAGTAACCATTTCCAGTTTTGGCAAAAAATCCTCACATCTAGAAGTTAGATCTAAACATACATTTGTTATTGGAACATATAATTCTACCTTTTCAACATTAAATTTTAATGTTTTGAAGCCTTGTCATTAACTTTTGAATCAAGAAGCAGGCACTTTTATTTCTGCAAGCAGAAGAAATGCAATACCATTATTTCAGGTTGTTCTCTCAGTCAACTGTCATTTGCAAGGCAAAATATCTTCACAAAGGCACTTTAATATGGTTCCATCCAAGTAAAATTTGCCAATCTTCTACAAAGATTTTAATTTTGATTGTTCTATTTGTTATATTTCTATATTGTTCAGGTAAATAATCTAAAAATATTGATTTTTTTATACATTCATCTTATGCTAGAATGATGACTAAGTAAGCTGACTTCCAGATTGAGCACAGAGCAATCATGAGCCTTCATGAATAATGTTCATTAGAAGAAAATTAATACATTAGAGTAAGAAATGCCCTTTTAAATAGCTACAAACTGTTTTATTACTGGACCTACCCATAATATGATGGTCTTTGGGAATTTCCAAGGAAGTTATGGTTCCATGAGCTAATAGTAATGAGAAGGACTCTCAAGATTTTTTTGTTTTTATTCTTAATTTACAATCTGATTTCTGGGAAAAAGCTTTATGGGTCAGGTAGCTGACTCATAACATCTTCAGTAGCCATAAATCATGACAGCCACACTAAGGGAAACCAAGACACAATAATTAGTAATAGCTGTCAGGCTGGCCCACAGCTTCTATAAAATATTGCATATTCTCCATCCACCAGACACCCCGTCTTATACAACATTAAAAAATCTCGCCTTACCACGTTTCTGTTATTAAAAATGTGCTACTCCTGTCCACACTCACATCTCCACCCAAAACCTGCCCTTTCAGCACGGGCTGCGTTGAAATGCCCTTTCAGAAGTAAAGCTCCTTGGTGAGCATGGAGACCACGCAGGGAATCTGCTTCTTCTCGCTGAAGCGCGGATCGTCGGACTGCGACTCGAAATTGGTGGCCACCACGTAGTTGACCCGAGTGAGGATCTGCATGATCTCAAGCTGCTTTCCATGCTCATTCAGCACAGAGCACAAAGACTGCACAAACCAGGAGCCTCTTCCAGGATTTCTCCAGGAGTAATAACCTGACAGGAAAGACGAGGAAGAGGATACAGGGAGAGTTATTTTTGCTCTTTTGTGTGAAAGACTCTGGGCAAAGACTGACAATGCACACACTGAAAGCTGAACTCTTAACTGCTGTGTTACACATCCTACTTCATTAAAATTGAGAATAATGTATATTAACTCTCCAAACCTCACACTGCTTAAGTACCATTCTACATTTTGGCACCAGGGAATCTGCAAGAAGTAAAATTACACAGGTTTCCTTTCTGAGAATAAGTGTTGTGCTGTAACTATTCCTCCTCCTGCCTTCACCACACGTTCAGCACACCAGGACACAGAAGGGCAGGATTCCCAGAACACAGTACTGCCTTTGCTATCTGTAATCTCCCTTTTCCTCTGCAGCCAGTGCAGAAGTGGGGGATACCCAATGCACACCAAGCCTTTGTCCTTTGTCCATCAGTGCACAATTTATCATCAGGGGATCCATCTCCAATCCAGTCAGTATGGATGGTGAGTTTTCAGGCTTCTACCCCCATCTTACCCTCTTTTCCTTACCTGGCACTGTGGAATAAGCAAACAGAAAATCTGCTTCCACTGGGATTTTGTATCTCGGGTTGGCATCTGTCTCCAGGGTGTCATTGGCAGGTCCAGAATCAGTTTGTATACCTTCATCAAATTCAGAGCCTCTGCAGGCCTGAAAGCAGACAATATAAAGAGAATGTTTCCAGTAAGCAGAAACAAGGTTTTATAACAATTAGTATTCATCAAAGTCTTTTAACGGATTTTAATGGTTTTTTTTAATTCTAAGCAGTACTTTGCATGTATTAAAAGCAGAGATACAGTTCTGGGGGATATCTAATTGTTCAGCGATAAAGTTACTAGCTTACCCTTTGAAAAATATACATTTTGTAAGCAGAGGAAGGCTAAGGTGTTGAGGCTGTGCATCTCAGCTGTTTGTCAACAAGTGCCATGTCAGCACTGGTTTATTCAAACCATGATTAATTTTACCAGTCTAGAGTCATTCTCAGCACCCAATTATTACATAATGCTGACTCCTGGACAATTTCTTGACAGTGGACTCTACAGGTGGAGACTCTACAGTGTGGACAATGTGGTCTAGTGTTTGACCACCCATTACAAGTATATTGCATTTTCAATACTTTTCCATTTATCTCTTTGATTCTTAATTTTCTCTTAATCATGAGTTTATCTAAAGGGCACACTGGGACAATGGTCCTGGTGGGTAATTTTCAGCTCTTGATCAGTAGCTTTGACTGACAGCTCTTGTAAAAGAACAAGTCTGCCTGGCTTATATGACAGGGCTGATTGTCTTTATTAAGATAATTTTAAAGTCTATAAAGTAACCATTTCAAAAGTGTAATTAGGAGAAACATCACTTTAGTGGTATGAAGAGTCTAAAACAGTTTTCACTTTGAGGATGAGGATTAACTGATGGGATAGCCTAGGGAAAACCACATCTGCTGCAACTCTTATATGCAAATAATGCTATGTGTTATGTAAAAAAGAGAATTCAGACCCACGATATGTCAGTTAATGCTGTTTGAAACAGTTGTCTTTAAAAGTTTTAACTAATACAATTAATACATTAACTAATAATTGTATTAACTAGTACAAATAATTACATGCTAATTTAAAAATGCAATATAAATTTTTAGGCTACTGACGGAAAAAAAGTGTTTATTTAAGCAGTAATTTGTAGAGGAAGCCTTAATTCAAAGAGACCTGGACAGTATTATTCCTATTGAAAATCATGTACTGTCCTTAGCTCTGTCTTGCACAAAAGTGAGTTTATCTTTCTGCTTTGAAGTCCATATATTACCAAGAAAAACCATATAGAAAATGACAACGATAATATTCTTTACACCTGTGAATCTTGTATACAAATTATCTTCTAAAAACAAACAATAATTTTACCCATAGACAACTTCTTTCAACACATTTCTTTTCACAAACCTCCGGCAACATTCAGTAAGTCAGGCTACAGGGCTTTTCTAGGGCAGACAACCAACAGAGCATGTTTTCCCTGCTGCAGCAGTAGGACACTGTATTCTCCTTAGGGCTATTACCTGAATGAAAAACAGTTTGGGTTTGCCTATAAGGCTTTTACACTTGTCTCCTCTGAACAGTGCAGTCAGACTCTTGATAGCCATGGGTCCATCTGTGCCATAGATGAGCCCCTCTTCCCCATGGCTTAGGAGGATACAGGCAAAACAGGCAGCATCACTGTGGTTCTCCTCAGCAGCTACAAGGCAAACACTTCAGAGTCAAAAAAAAGCCATGTTTTAAATGGAAATGATATTTAGCAAATGCATTTTTCTGAGGGTAAATACACACTGGGCTCCTACTGTCAGGCATAAGAAGGAGTGGATCATC